TTGCATGTAGTTTAAAAACCTTTGAAACATGGAATCAAATAAAATCATTTCTCCGTTCTACTTTTGGGGAGAAAAAACACGCGACACATTTACTATCAGACTTGCAAAACTGTAAACAGTCATCCGAGGACGTCACTAAGTTTTCTTTAAAATTAGAACAAATTTTAACAAAAATTCAATCAGATATACACTATAGTTGCAAAAACGCTGATGAGCTTCCAGGTAGAATAGCCGCCATGGAGGATCTAGCATAAAAAACATTTTTGTTAGGGTTAAATCCTGCTATTTCTACTATTGTTAGATGTAGGAACCCTCAAACTCTAAATGAAGCTGTTCAATTAGCGATAGAAGAGGAAAAATTACAAAATCTCCAAACGTGTTCAAAAAATTCAATAAAACAGTGTAGTATATGTAATAAAGTAGGTCATGTTGCTATTCAATGTTTTAAAAATAAAAAACATTCTAATTATAATCATAATAAACAAATTTCGCATTTATCTAGTTCTAATTCTGGTAAATTAATGTGTAATTATTGCAAAAACATAGGGCACACTATTGATCAATGTAGAAAGCGACAATATAATATGCAACAACGTCAAAATTTTAATCATAACTCTAATACAAATTCTAATTATATAAATCGTAGCCCAAATAATAATTCTAATTTTATAAGTCGTAACCCTATTTCCAATTCTAGTTCCAACTCTGTGCCTATGCACATGACATATGATAACGACGACGCTGTCGATAACTCTAACTCTTTAAACTGAATAAGATTTCGGATGCGTGTCTGCCGAAATCGTACTATCGTAACGACACGAAAACAATTAATACTAGTTTTTCTACTAAATCTTATAAAAATCCTTATGCTAAATCTTATTCTAATTCTTATTCTAACTCATCTCGGCAATGCTTTAGCAAGCAACCGAGTCATTCTAGCTCATTTACATCTCAGTTACCCAAAGAGGAACTGAGTCATTATAAGTCTATTACATCTCAGCAACCCAAAGAGGTGAAGCTGAGTCTTGCTAGTTCTTATGCATCTCAGTTGACCAAAAAGGTACAACCGAGTCCTACTAAATCGTTTACTATATCTACATCTCAGCAACCCAAAGAGGTGAAGCTGAGTCTTGCTAGTTCTTATGCATCTCAGTTGACCAAAAAGGTACAACCGAGTCCTACTAGATCGTTTACTATATCTTCATCTCAGCAACCCAAAGAGGTTAAGCCGAGTCTTAATGAATCTTATTCTAATTCTATTCCTATCTTTGAAACGAGCATAAATACATGCAAGGTTTCGTTACCATATACAAATCTATTTACAAAATATTCTCCTAAGTGTCTCAAACTTCTTATCGATACCGGCGCGAGTGTCTGTGTCATTAAACACTCATGTTTAAAAATGAAACATGAACTTCTTAATGATAAAATAAGAATCAAAGGTATAAATGATACGGATACATATTGCGAAACGCTAGGCTCAATCTACTTACAATTTTTATTAAGTGATGAAACTTACGAGTATAAATTTTACGTTATTAACGATAATATAAATCTTAATTACGACGGTATTATTGGTACAGATTTTCTTAAATATTTTAATGCTAATATAGATTATAGCTCTAAGATAATGACTCTGTGTGGTTACCAAGTTCCCATTATATTTCATCAGCCAACATACATCGTTCCGGCACGCTCAGAAGCCGTCATTGAATGCGCTATATCAAATTACTCGGTCGAGCTTTATCACAATAATGAAGGCTTAGTTCTAGATCATACCTTAAGCGAGGGTATTTACGTCGCGAATTGTATTGTGTCAATAAAACCAAACAAAAAAGTTAACATCACCGTTTTAAACACGACTGACACAGACTTAGAAATTAAAGATTATTTCGTAGAATTGACACCGATCGATTATAATAATTCTATTTCCTGCGAAAATCCTATATCTAGTAAATGCTTGTATTCTATTTCTACTTCTAAATCTAATCGAATAGATCGAGTATTAAGTCTTTTACGCTGCTCCCATCTCAACGATGAAGAAAAGAAAGCACTTTTAAATTGCTGTTCCGATTATACGGATATCTTTCACCTCGAAGGTGAACCCCTTTCGTTTACGAATGGCATCCAACATTCCATAGATACGGGTAACGCGGCCCCAGTTCACGTAAAATCATATCGCTTCCCTGAGTGTCATAAGGAAGAAGTCGATACACAAATTCGCAAAATGCTAAATCAAAACATAATTCGTCCCTCTGTTTCGCCTTGGAGCGCCCCTGTATGGGTAGTCCCGAAAAAATTAGACGCTTCTGGCAAAAGAAAGTGGAGAATAGTCATTGACTATCGCCGTCTTAATGACATCACAGTTTCCGAAAGCTATCCCCTGCCTCTTATCACCGATATCCTAGATCAATTAGGCCATTCCAAGTATTTCACAACCCTTGATCTTGCCAGCGGTTTCCACCAAATAAAGATGGATCCTAAAGATGCCCCAAAAACGGGATTTACTATAAGTACTAATTCGAGCATGTCTGGTCACTACGAATTCACTAGAATGCCCTTTGGTTTAAAAAACGCTCCTTCTACCTTCCAGCGCCTGATGAATACTGTCTTATCAGGTTTGCAAGGTCTACACTGTTATGTTTATCTAGATGATTGCATAATTTATAGTCATAATTTAAATGAACATATGGAAAAATTAAAACTAGTATTCAATAAGCTGCGCGAATACAATCTAAAATTGCAACCAGATAAGTGCGAATTTTTAAGACGTGAAGTAACTTATCTTGGTCATATTATCACCGATAAGGGTGTCTCTCCTAATCCAGAAAAAGTAAAAGCAGTGTCACAATTTCCAACTCCTAAGAGCCCTAAAGAAATTAAATCCTTCCTAGGCCTAATAGGCTATTATCGCCGATTTATTGATAATTTTTCTAAATTGACAAAACCACTTACTTCTTTATTAAAAAGGGATACTACTTTCCACTGGTCTCAAGAACAACAAATTGCTTTCGATGTTTTAAAAGAAAAATTAATCACTGCTCCGCTGCTCCAATATCCAGATTTCTCTCAACCGTTCATAGTAACTACAGATGCAAGTAATTATGCCGTAGGCGCAATCTTATCCCAAGGTCCTGTAGGCAAAGATAAACCGATAGCTTATGCATCACGTACTCTAAACCGTCCCGAAGGCAATTATTCAACTACCGAAAAGGAACTTCTAGCCATTCTATTCGCAGTCAAAACGTTTCGTCCTTACCTCTACGGTAATAAATTCAAAATAGTTACCGATCATAGACCATTGGTATGGCTATTCAATGTCAAAGACCCAGGTAGTAGACTCATTCGTTGGCGCTTAAAACTAGAAGAATACGATTACGAAATTGTTTATAAACAAGGCCGTCTTAATTCTAACGCCGATGCGTTATCTCGCTGTCCCGTTAATGTTATAGATATTAACACTTTAAATAATTCTAGTTATGAAAAATATTTTAAAGACCAATTTACAAATAAAACTCCTATTTCAAATACAATAATCGTAGAATGTACTCAAGGATTACACCTATCCAAACTAAAAATTATTGCTTGTCCCGTCTCTTTAGATTTTGACTCATCTATACCTCACTGTGAAGAAATATTAGCACAATTAGACAAGCCTGACGACTTATTAAATTCCGAACGCGAACCATTTACAATTCAATGCGTAAAGGATAAGAATAAATCTTACTATTTTATGTACACTAAAATTCATCATTATGAAGAAACCAAATTTAAAGATATTTACAATTTAATTATAAAACTCAGAGATAAAATTTTAATCGAGAACCCTGATATTACAGATCTCGCCTTATCAGACTTTTCAGATCCATTTTCTAAGCTAGCTTATATTAAAGTATATAATATGATTGCCTATATTTTTCATAACACTAACATTAAAGTTCATATATACAAAAATCAATTAATTTATCCTACTCCCGTCGAAATCCCTAAAATTTTAAAAGAGAATCACGATTCACCTATTGCGGGTCACCCAGGTTCAAGTCGTATGTATAGACGAATTAAAGCCGCCTATTATTGGAAAAGTATGCGCTCTGACATTGTAGATTATGTAAAGAAATGCCAATTATGCCAAATTAATAAACCATTAAGAATGTCCAATAAGGCCCCAATGGAAATAACTTCTACTTCCACTAGACCGTTTGAACGATTAGCTCTCGACATCGTTGGTCCTTTACCTGACGCAGGTTTTCAAAAATTCAAATTCATCCTTACATTACAAGATGATTTAACTAAATTTTCAAGTGCTTATCCCCTGGTCACAGCTACCAGTGAAGAAATAGCCAGAAATCTTGTACATTTTATGTCTCTCTTCGGTTTCCCTAAAACAATCTTAACGGATTTAGGTACTTGTTTTACGTCTGATTTATTTAAAGAATTAACTCAAATCTTAAAAGTCAAGGCTTTATTTACTACTCCTTACCACCCACAAACAAATGGAGCTCTAGAACGCTCTCATGCTACTTTAAAGGAATACTTAAAATCTTTCGTAAATGAAACCCAGAACGACTGGCATTGTTATTTATTTACCGCAATATTAGCTTATAATACTACCCCTCATTGCACTACCAATTTCACCCCTCATGAATTATTATATGGTTATAAACCTAATATCCCTAATTCTCTATATGAAACGAACAATAATACTACTTATAATGAATATATTCGAGCTTTACAATATCGAATGCGTTTTAGTAGAGAAAAGGCCATTCAGAATATAATTAATAGCAAAGAAAAATCCAAACAATATTACGATGTAAGTTCACGCGAAATTTCTTATAAAATTGGTGACTTAGTTTATATAAAACACCATCACCGACTCCGTAAGGCCCTATCACCTATATGGAAAGGTCCATATAAAATTATAAAAGTCCATAATAAGCACAACGTTACTTTACAAGTAGGTCGTAAACATGTTAAGTATCATATAAACGAGATTAAGCCTGCTATTAACACTCCTTAAATTTAACTTATTTTATATATTTTTCAGAGCTTTATGCTATGGAAGCCAAAGCCACGCTGAGTCGAGGATCATACCTATATCACATAGTCCTGGAATTTATTTTGAACCTATTACGCATATTAACTTTTATAACGATTATTGGAAGGTTATAACACATATAGACCTTATACCTTTAGCTCCTTATCTCAATAAAATTGAAAATTTATTATATGATACCTTAAACCTTTGTTCCAAAATAAATACTGATGAATTTTCCGAATGTAAAGATTTTTCAAATCCTATAGAGATTTTAATAAAATATAATAACGTCAAATTGCAATCCCTAGCACATATAATCGATAATAATCAATCGTCAAATAGAGTTAAAAGATCTCTAGAATTTGGAGGCGAAATTCTTAAATTTTTCTTCGGTACTCTAGACGCAGATGATGCGCGAAAATATGATGCCGCGATAGAATTATGTCGGAAAAGTGAAACAGAACTATTTAATTTATTCAGAGACAATATTCACATAATTAAATCTACCATAAATAATTTTAATGCCACTATTTATAAATTAAACCAAAATGAATTAAGATTAAACTCACAAATTAATAAAATGAATGAAATTCTTTCGCAAATCACAAAAACCGATAATTTACTTATTAACATTTCTAGAATAAATAATTTATTGAACATAATTGAAAGCTCCTTACTTGCCATTTCTAACTTGCTAGACACGACTATAAATGCTATCCTATTTTCCAAGGTAAATGTTTTGCATCCTAGCGTGATTAGCCCTTTAAGTCTTTATAATGAATTAACCAAGCATATCAATCAAATAAATAAACGTTTAGATTTTCCAGTGCAATTGAACATACATAATATTCATTCGTTAATTGATGTTTCGAAACTTAGTTCATATTATTATAACAATAAGATTGTTTTCAACTTGCAGATTCCATTAATAACACCTGATAAGTTCATTGTTTATAAAAATATCCCATTACCGACTCCTCACGACGAGTCGCATAAACAAACGTTTGCACTTATTCAACCTTCTAATTCTTATATTGCTTTAAGTGACGATAGAATACATTATACTATGTTTAATAACTTAGATGATTGTAAATTTATTAATAATAACTATTCTATTTGTGAACTATTTACTATAACGTCTAGCATAAATAATCCTAATTGTGAATCGAAATTATTAACAGAAGTAACTCTTTCCTTACCTTCTGAATGTAACTCCAAGTTATTATTTGGCCAAATCAATATTTGGCATAAATTAAAAAATAATAAATGGATATATGTACAATCCAATGTAAATAAATTAACTATCAAATGTAACGACGATATTACTGATCATTCTATTATTGGCACAGGTATTGTCAAATTAACCGAAAATTGTATCGGTTATTCCAAAACTATTCAATTATTGCCAACAAGTACTTATCAATTTTCGATTAAGTCAACTATAGATATAAGCTTTGACATAACAAGAGATGATTGTTGCAAAAAAGATGTATTTAATAAAAGTTTACCATATTTAACGCCAATCTCTCTAAGCAAAGTTAACTTGGATTCCTTAAAATATGCAAATCACCAGCTAGATAGTTTAGAATTTGAATTAAATAATCTTCAAAAGGAATCACATTTTATAAAATACGGTTCATACTATTCCACATTTACTTATATTTTAGTTGTATTACTATTTTTGTACTTAGCCTACAAATTATTTAAATGTTCCAGAAATCGACACAATAATAGTGGACATTGTATACAAATATTTAATCAGTGTAATAATAAAAAGTCGTCGAAACATAATTCTAAAACTACAAATTCAATTGAGATGATTGATATGTCAACATCTGAAGAAGATAATAACTCACCCAAATCTTTACCAAATTGTACTAATTGTGAACCTTATAGAACTGTACACAAAGTTCACTCTTCCTCCGGAAGAAATCTTAATTTCTAATTTTATTCAATTTTAGTTTACAAAAATGTTTGTATTAAAACAATTGATTAATTTTATTATTATACAATTTCAATTTCTACTTTGTCATTTTATATTTTGTAATTGCTACATTTTACTATTTTTTATTCAATCTAATTGTAATAAGTATTTTTTTATTTTAAATGTGTATTGTTATTTAATTATATACAATGTTAAAATGAAAATTGTAATTGAAAATACTATTTTGTTTATTAAAAATCAATTTCTACTCGTAATTCTACTAATTCATTTAAAATACTTTTAATTCTAGATTTTACTATTTTACCTTTATATAAATTCATTGTTCTATTTTATATTGATTATTTGTTAAATCTTACGCTGTTTCTTTTACGTAACTTAGTTACAACTTACTTTATCTTTATGTAAAATCGAATAGTTCGAAGTTTTATATTGTTATAAGATAAATTTTCTATGTTTTACTATAAATTTAATTTTCTATTTCTATATTTTGTAACGCCTTCCGACCTCTAACTATTTCTCTATTTCGAAACTTCGCTTTATCTTAATTTAGAAAAAGCTCAGTCAAAAGGGGGGAGCTGTTATATCCCTTTTTACAACGCAGTTAAATCTTAGTAAGCATTTATTCAATCCCACGGTACTTTTCCTATATATGACGTCAATCAGTAATTGTATTGTTCTTTTCCATATTAATTTCATTCCATTTTACAGTCAGTTAGATTCAGAGCCCCGGGTAGATCGGACATAGATTCCGATACGTATTAGAGTTCGGAAGTCAGGGTTAATATTAATTGTGTGTGTAAACTTTTTATAATAAACCCTTAGGTTTACCTTGTGGTTTTTTTTTAAAAAGTCAAACGGGATCGGCCTCCTAACAGCGCGTACATTGACCTTTATCTAGCTCAGGTCAGGTGATATCAATTCAGTCATTCCACTGCTGGTTTTATGTTTCAGTATTTTCATGATATTTTTTATGAAATTATCGTTTCATTTAGCTGTACTAACATGATGGCGCGTGAATAAAGCTAATAAAACCTTGTAAAAAGATGATTTTTTTTTCATCAGGATCGAATTTATTTGTGACCCATGATCAAAGGTATACTTGGTGCTGTCGCCTGTCTTAGTTTTCGGGAGCGTTCCAAAAACACCCTGTATATGTAGAAAGTATAGTGGGTATAGTACAGAGACTGATTTTGTAGTTAGGAATAATAATTAATTCGTTTACACGAATTAATTATCTAACGAGTCGAGGATAAACTAGTAACGCAATACGACAAGCGCACAGTTCCACCTCAGAGCCAAGACTGTCTTAACGGCGGCCGCTCAGTCCGTTTTATACAAGCAGGACGGGCTGCAACGCAGGTGCAATGCCGCAGGTGTGCGGTACACGTGTCGTTTACAAGAATTCTGTCTAGCTAGACCGACGCCACCGCATCTACAACGGTGCAGGTGCCGTCACGGCCATACTGACATGCGTGCGTCCTCGCACGCGCTCCATCACAATTTTAGTTATCTGTTACAACTGTAATCTGTAAAACATCGTTCGATTATCCTGACAAAACAGCGTCTGGTCCGGTCTATACTGACCCTTCAGACTCGGGTGATAATCAGTTTTGTTCCGGCAGTAAGCCCTACAAAACTTTTATTACCATTATGCTAGATCGGAATGATTAGTCTGCAGCTTTTTCTATTTTCTCTTTTTTTTTTCAAGTACTGTTTTCGCTAGTCCGGAATAACTATTCCCTATAGCCATATCATTGGACCGGCACAAAGCCCTGCAATGATAGTAAGATCTATTTTTTTTCTTACGCTTTTTTTTTTCAAGTACTATTTATGCTAGTCCGGAATCACTATTCCCTGTAGCTATATCATTGGACCGGCAAACGCCCTGCAATGATAGTAAGAACCACATTTTTTTCTTACTCTCTTTTTTTTTCAATTCAGTATAGAACAGTTACAGACCAACCATACCGCAAACATGTCCCTGTCACAATCACACAAAAGTGTATCGTGAGGGACGTAGTGACACGATAACACCTAAGTATGTAAACCAACAGCAACACGTCACATATCCCAGTGCAGCACAAACCAGCCTCCCTGCAACTTCATGTTCCTTTCCTGCACTAGAATGATTACTTTGCTAGAGTGTAGCAATGTCCCTAATATTTTCTAGATGCACAGACACGGCTACCTCTGACTGTCGCACGTCCTCGTGCGGTTGACAGTGAACAGCATACGGTCTATCAGTTATCACCACCTGCTAACAGATATTAACTTTTGTTAAATATCACAACAGTCGACCATCCCAGACTTCATTTAAGTCTGGAACGCGCCGATATGGCTACCTCCAGGCAAACGCACTAACGCACGCTTTTCGTTCTGCTGCGTTCGTGCCACATTCGCGCCAGCAAGCCGTCGCGCCGTACTAGTGCTAGCGAATCGTCGCACTGCTTTGCAAAATTAAAATAAACCGAGATAAATGTATTGCGAACCATGGAATTCCGAACTTCCAAAATTCATCACATATTCTCTTAAGAAACGGCAACTGTATGACATTTGAAAACATTGCAAAAAAATGGAAACTATGTGTAGACACGGATACCATCACATATTTCAAAGGGAAGGAGGCAACTGCGCAAAATCTACGAAAGCCGACCAAGCCTCAGGACGTTCATTTACAGCACCAAAGGACCATGTGTTCAGCGGCCGGTTGAATTGCCCTTTCGTAAGATCAGCCGATAAGTAACCGACTGTAGCGGTGTAGGCTCAATCTAACCAGCGCTCGGCCGTACCTGACCATGTTCGATTAGCCATCACAACGTCTTCCTCATTGATCATTGTTGTAGAGACTTCTACGAATCCCTCGACATCCAACCCCAATCTTGTCGACCACACAGTATTCGGAGCAAACTGCAACACTAATCAACACATTAGAACACAAAAATGTCACTTATTATTTTCAATTCCTAGCATGTTTAAGTTAATCCTTTATTTTGGTACATCGCTTAAACGTTTTGAATTTCAAAATATAACTGATGATAATCATGTTTCGCATAAACTATCAAATTACAACAAAACTTGAACAAGTTAATTTTTAATTCAATGCAAACGATGACTCGTCTAGAAAGCCTCCGACATTTCTTTCATGTGTTAACATATTTAGATACGTCAGAAATAATGAAAAAACTTGAGGGTACTTTTAATACAAATCGAACAAAAGGATTTATATTTTGGCTTAAATAATTTCACTTTATCTTTTCTCTACACTTTAATGATACGACAATATCATAAGTAGGACAGCAAATTTCATAACGGTATTTAACATAAAAACAGATTCATCAATGCGGAATGCATTATAGTCTTTCACAAATGTAATAATCCTCATACTATTTGAAGATTATATGTGGGCAATAAGGGGCACTTTATCCCACTTCTGATGTAGAAAGTATAGTGGGTATAGTACTGAGACTGATTTTGTAGTTAGGAATAATAATTAATTCGTTTACACGAATTAATTATCTAACGAGTCGAGGATAAACTAGTAACGCAATACGACAAGCGCACAGTTCCACCTCAGAGCCAAGACTGTCTTAACGGCGGCCGCTCAGTCCGTTTTATACAAGCAGGACGGGCTGCAACGCAGGTGCAATGCCGCAGGTGTGCGGTACACGTGTCGTTTACAAGAATTCTGTCTAGCTAGACCGACGCCACCGCATCTAGAACGGTGCAGGTGCCGTCACGGCCATACTGACATGCGTGCGTCCTCGCACGCGCTCCATCACAATTTTAGTTATCTGTTACAACTGTAATCTGTAAAACATCGTTCGATTATCCTGACAAAACAGCGTCTGGTCCGGTCTATATTGACCCTTCAGACTCGGGTGACAGTCAGTTTTGTTCCGGCAAAAAGCCATACAAAACTTTAATCATCTTTATGTTAGATCGGAATGATTAGTCTGCAGCTTTTTCTATTTTCTCTTTTTTTTTTTCAAGTACTGTTTTCGCTAGTCCGGAATAACTATTCCCTATAGCCATATCATTGGACCGGCACAAAGCCCTGCAATGATAGTAAGATCTATTTTTTTTCTTACGCTTTTTTTTTTTCAAGTACTATTTATGCTAGTCCGGAATCACTATTCCCTGTAGCTATATCATTGGACCGGCAAACGCCCTGCAATGATAGTAAGAACCACATTTTTTTCTTACTCTCTTTTTTTTTCAATTCCGTATAGAACAGTTACAGACCAACCATACCGCAAACATGTCCCTGTCACAATCACACAAAAGTGTATCGTGAGGGACGTAGTGACACGATAACACCTAAGTATGTAAACTAACAGCAACACGTCACATATCCCAGTGCAGCACAAACCAGCCTCCCTGCAACTTCATGTTCCTTTCCTGCACTAGAATGATTACTTTGCTAGAGTGTAGCAACGTCCCTAATATTTTCTAGATGCACAGACACGGCTACCTCTGACTGTCGCACGTCCTCGTGCGGTTGACAGTGAACAGCATACGGTCTATCAGTTATCACCACCTGCTAACAGATATTAACTTTTCTAAATATCACAACAGTCGACCATCCCAGACTTCATTTAAGTCTGGAACGCGCCGATATGGCTACCTCCAGGCAAACGCACTAACGCACGCTTTTCGTTCTGCTGCGTTCGTGCCACATTCGCGCCAGCAAGCCGTCGCGCCGTACTAGCGCTAGCAAATCGTCGCACTGCTTTGCAAAATTAAAAGAAATTGAGATAAATGTATTGCGAACTATGGATTTCCGAGCTTCCAAAATTCATCACATATTCTCTTAAGAAACGGCAACTGTATGACATTTGAAAACATTGCAAAAAAAAATGTAAACTTTGTGTAGAGATAGATACCACAACATATTTCGAAGCGAAGGAGGCAACTGCGCAAAATCTACGAAAGCCGTCCATTTACAGCGCCAAAGCACCATTTGTTCGGCGGCCGCTTGAAATGCACTGCCGTAAGATCAG